AATCCCGCAGATCCAACCGGTCCCAAATCCCTTGGGAATTCCCAAATCCTGCAGATCCAACCAGTCCCAAATCCCCCTGAAGATCCCAAATCCCATGGATCCAACCTGAGCTCATCCCATGGATCCACCAATCCAATCCCAATCCCAATCCCATGGATCCAACCTGTCCCAATCCCCCTGAAGATCCCAAATCCCATGGATCCAACCAATCCAATCCCAATCCCAATCCCAAATCCCACAGATCCGACCTGTCCCGATCCCCCTGAAGATCCCAAATCCCATGGATCCAACCAATCCAATCCCAATCCCAATCCCACAGATCCAACCTGTCCCGATCCCTCTGGAATTCCCAAATCCCACAGATCCAACCTGAGCTCATCCCAATCCCACAGATCAAACCTGTCCCAATCCCTCTGAAATTCCCAAATCCCGCAGATCCACCTGTCCCGATCCCCCTGAAGATCCCAAATCCCACGGATCCAACCTGAGCTCATCCCATGGATCCAACCAATCCAATCCAATCCCAATCCCACAGATCCAACCTGTGCAAATGCCTCTGGAATTCCCAAATCCCACAGATCCAACCTGTCCCAATCCCCCTGAAGATTCCAAATCCCATGGATCCAACCTGACCCAAATCCCACAGATCTGACATGTCCCGATCCCTCTGGAGATCCCAAATCCCCCAGATCCAACCTGAGCTCATCCCAATCCCACAGATCCAACCTGTCCTGATCCCTCTGGAATTCCCAAATCCCACAGATCCAACCTGAGCTCATCCCAATCCCACAGATCCAACCTGTCCCAATCCCCCTGAAGATCCCAAATCCCAAGGATCCAACCTGAGCTCATCCCATGGATCCAACCAATCCAATCCCAATCCAATCCCAATCCCAATCCCAATCCCCATGAAGATCCCAAATCCCACGGATCCAACCTGAGCTCATCCCATGGATCAACCAATCCAATCCCAATCCCAATCCCAATCCCACAGATCCAACCGGTCCCAAATCCTCTGGAGATCCCAAATCCCACAAATCCAACCTGTCCCGATCCCTCTGGAATTCCCAAATCCCATGGATCCAACCAATCCAATCCCAATCCCACAAATCCAATCTTTCCCGATCCCCCTGAAGATCCCAAATCCCATGGATCCAACCAATCCAATCCCAATCCCAAATCCCACAAATCCAACGCGTCCCAATCCCTCTGAAATTCCCAAATCCCACAAATCCAACGCGTCCCAATCCCTCCGAAATTCCCAAATCCCACAGATCCAACCTGTCCCAAATCCCCCAAATCGGCCCCGTCCCGATGCCTCAGAATTCCCAAATTCCCAGATTTCCCCCGGCACGAGTGGCAATCAGCTCATAGAAACCATAAATGGATTTATTTTGGATTTTTTTTGCTCTGTACAACTTTAATGAGAAATCTCAGAAACAACAAAAAATCAAAATTTCGGGCTCATCCTGGAATTTCCCTTTTTTTTTTTTAAATTTTTTTTTACATTTTCCCATCGGAATTATCAAAATATTCTCATTTTTTTGGGATTTTGAGGGGATTTTTTTGGGATTTCTTTGGGGTTTTTTGTGATTTTTGTTTTTGGAATCGGCTCGGGAACGCTCCGAGGGTTGGAATTTTTATTTTTGGTTTCAAAAAATTCAAGGGGAATGAAAAGAAATGAAAATTTCCAGAATTTTGGGGGAAAATTTGGGAAATTTGATTTTTTTTTGGTCCTTTTTTGGGCAAAATCTCCACTTTTTTGGGTGAAAATTCAATTTTTGGGAGGGAAAAATTCCTCTTTTTTTAGGTGACAATTTAATTTTTCATTGGCAAAAATTCCTCTTTTTTTCCAAAAAATCTTTTTTTTTGGCCAAAAATTCCTCTTTTTTTTGGCAAAAATTAATTTTTTGAAGGGAGGCAAAATTTCCTATTTTCTTTACAAAATTCAAATTTTCATTGGCAAAAATTCCTCCTTTTTTGGGCAAAAAATTCTCTTTTTTGGCAAAAAATTCAAATTTTTTTGGCATAAAATTCCTTTTTCTGGGCAAAAATTCAAAATATTTTTGCAAAAATTCTTTTTTTTCTGACAAAAATTCCTTTATTTCCACAAAAGTTCCATTTTTTTGGAGCAAAAATTCAAAATTTGTTTGTGGCGAGAATTAAATATTTTTGGCAAAAATTTCTCCTTTTTAGGCAAGAATTCAAATATTTTTTGCGGAAATTCCAATTTTTTCTGCTAAAATTCGATTGTTTGGGCCAAAAATTCCTTTTTTTTCCCAGCAAAAATTCCTGGGCTTTTTATGCAGAAATTCCCCTTTTCTGGGTAAAATTTCAATTTAGGGGGGAGGCAAAATTTCAAATTTTGTCCTGCAAAAATTCCTATTTTTTTCGGTCAAAAATCCAATTTTCCTGGGGCAAACATTCAAAATTTTTCCACAAAATCCCAATTTTTTTTTTTGTCCAAAAATCTTATATTTTGGGGGGGAAAAAAATTCCAATTTTCCCCACAAAAATCCCAATTTTGGGGGGCAAAATTCCGTTTTTCCCCTCGCGTTCGGCCTCCGTTCCGCGCGGATCCTCCCGGCCCTCACCGCGGCCTCGGGAACCCTCGGGAACTCTCGGAAACCTTCGGGAAACTCTCGGGAGCCCTCGGAAACCTTCGGAACCCTCGGGAACTCTCGGAAACCTTCGGGAACTCTCGGAAACCTTCGGGAACTCTCGGAAACCTTCGGAACTCTCGGGGGAGCCCTCGGAAACCTTCGGGAACTCTCGGGGAGCCCTCGGAAACCTTCGGGAACTCTCGGGGGAGCCCTCGGAAACCCTCGAGAACGCTCAGGAGCCGGCGGGAACCATCGGGGAGCCTTCGGAAACCGTCGGAAGAGCCCTCAGGAGCCGGCGGGAACCGGGGGGGGAACCCTTGGGAACCGTCAGGAACCGGCGGGGGAGCCCTCGGGAACCGGCGGGAGCCCTCAGGAGCCCTCGGGAACCGGCGGGACGGGATCTGGCGGAAACTGGCGGGGAGCGCTCGGGAACCGGCGGGGAGCCCTCGGGGACCGTCGGAAACCGTCGGAAGAGCCCTCGGGAACCGTCGAAAGAGCCTTCGGGAGCCCTCGGGAACCGGTGAGGGAGCCCTCGGGAACCGTCAGGAACCGGCGGGGGAGGGCTCGGTAATCGGCGGGAGCCCTCGGGAACCGTCGGGGGAGCGCTCGGGAACCGTCGGAAACCGCCGAAAGAGCCCTCAGGAGCCCTCGGGAACCGGTGAGGGAGCCCTCGGGAACCGTCAGGAACCGGCGGGGGAGGGCTCGGTAATCGGCGGGAGCCCTCGGGAACCGTCGGGGGAGCCCTCGGGAGCCCTCAGGAACCGGTGAGGGAGCCCTCGGGAACCGTCAGGAATCGGCGGGGGAGGGCTCGGTAATCGGCGGGAGCCCGCGGGAAACCGTCGGGGGAGCGCTCGGGAACCGTCGGAAACCGCCGGAAGAGCCCTCGGGAACCGTCGAAAGAGCCCTCAGGAGCCCTCGGGAACCGGTGAGGGAGCCCTCGGAAACCGTCAGGAACCGGCGGGGGAGCGCTCGGGAACCGTCGGAAACCGCCGGAAGAGCCCTCGGGACCCCTCGGGAACCGTCGAAAGAGCCCTCAGGAGCCCTCGGGAACCGGTGGGGGAGCTCTCGGGAGCCCTCGGGAACCGGCGGGTGAGCCCTCGGGAACCGTCAGGAACCGGCGGGGGAAGGCTCTTTAATCGGCGGGAGCCCTCGGGAACCGTCGGGGGAGCCCTCGGGAGCCCTCAGGAACCGGCGGGGGAGCCCTCAGGAGCCCTCGGAACCGGTGAGGGAGCCCTCGGGAGCCCTCAGGAACCGGCGGGGGAGCCCTCAGGAACGGAGCCCTCGGGAACCGTCAGGGGAGTGCTCGGGAGCCCTCGGGAACCGTCAGGGGAGTGCTCGGGAACCGTCGAGAGCCCTCGGGAACCGTGGGGATGTGGCGGGAACCGGCGGGGGAGCCCTCGGGAGCCGGCAGAAAGTGTCTGGGGAGCCCTCGGGAACCATCGGGAGAGCCCGGGAAACGTCAGGAGAGCCCTCGGGTGCGCTCGGGAACCGTCGGGGGAGCCCTCGGGAGCCTTCGGGAACCCTCGGGAGCGCTCGGGAGCCGTCGGGGGAGCCCTCGGGAACCCTCGGGAGCCTTCGGGAGCGCTCGGGAGCCTTCGGGAACCCTCGGGAGCCTTCGGCTCGGGGTAGGCGGAGCTTTGGCGGCCTCGGGGCTCCGGAGCCGAAGCGCTTCGGGTCCCGCCGGGAGCTGGCGCGGCCGGGCCCGAGCCGGGGTTGGGTTAATTGGGCCTCGGCCGGGCCGGGAGGCGGTGCCGGAACGCTACAGAAAATATAAAATAACGAGGGGAAAAGAAAGGGGAAAAGGAAAAAAAATAGAAAATGAAATAGGGAAAAGGAAGGGGAAATAAAATAAATAAAAAAGGAGATAAAATGGGGAAAAGGGGAAAATAAAATTTAAAAAAAAGGAGATAAAATGGGGAAAAGGAAGGGGGAAAGAAAACAAAATGAAATTAAATAGAGGAAAGAAAGGGGGAGAAATACAAGATAAAATGGGGAAAAGGAAGAGGAAAATTAAAATAAAATGAAATAAAATAAGATAAAATAAGGAAAAGGAAGGGAAAATAAAAAAAGGGCGGAGTGAAATGGGAGAAAGAGAAGGGGAAAAAAAAATAAAATGGGGAAAAGGAAGGGGAAAAAATACAAAGTAAAATGTGGAAAAGATAGGGGAAAATTATTAAAAAATAAAATTAAATAAGGAAAAGAAAGAGGGGGAAAATACAAAATAAAATGAAGAAGTGAAAAGGAAAAAATACAAAATGAAATGGGGGAAAGGAAGGGGAAAATTAAAATAAAATGAAATGAAATAAATAAAATAAAATAAAATAAAATAAAATAAGGAAAAGGAAGGGAAAATAAAAAAAGGGCAGAGTGAAATGGGGGAAAGAGAGGGGGAAAATAAAAAAAATAAAATGGGGAAAAAATACAAAATAAAATGTGGAAAAGATAGGGGGAAATTATTAAAAAATAAAATTTAATAGGGAAAAGAAAGAGGGGAAAGTACAAAATGAAATGAAGAAGTGAAAAGGAAAAAATACGAAATGAAATGGGGGAAAGGAAGGGGAAAAGAAAAAAAAACCAAAATAAAACAGGGAAAAGGAAAGGAAAATAAAATGAGATTAAATAGAGGAAAGAAAGAGGGGAAAAGGAAAATAAAGAGAAAAATGTTTAAAGAGTGGGGGAAAAGGGAAATAAAGGGAAAATGTAAAAAGCGGGGAAAAAGAGAAAAAATAATTTAAAAAGTGGTGGAAAATGGGAAATAAAGAGGGGAAAAAAGGGGAAAAATAGAGGGAAAAAAATTAAAAGGGGGGAAAAAGGGAAAAAAGAGAAAAAAATTTTAAAAGTTGGGAATAAAAGGGGGAAAAGAGAAAAAAAAATGTAAAAAATGGGGGGGAAAATGGTAAAAAAAGAAGGAAAGGCCAAAGCAGCTGAGCCGAGAGCAGGGGAGGGGAATTTTGGAATTTCAGAATTTCGGAATTTCAGAATTTTGGAATTTTGGAATTCCTCTCCCGGAATTTTGGGAGATTCCAGCCAGGGAGGGGAAAAATAGGAAAAAAATTTAATTTAAAAAAGTGGAAAAATGTGAAAATTCTCCCAAATTTGGGATTTTTTTGGGGAATTGCAGCGTGGGACTGGAGAGTTCTGGGCAGGAATTGGTTAATTTGAAATGGGGTTCTACTTGGATTTATTTTAATTTTTTAAAAAATTCATTTTATTTAATTTATTTTTATTTATATTTCTTTATATTTTTATTTAACTTTAATTTATTTTCATTTTTCTTCATTTTATTTTTCTTGGTTTTTTTATTTCTTGAATTTTTAAAAATTTATTTAAATTTTTTCTAGATATTTCTTTTTATTTAATTGAATTTAATTCAAATTTTATTCACCTTTAAAATTTATTTTAAATGCTTCTCTTCCATTTACTTTAAATATTTTAACTCATTTTTTAAACTTCTTTTAAATCATTTTGACCAATCTTTTATTTATTTTAAATAATTCCATTTCATTCTTTATTCCTTTTAAATATTTTTTAAATTTTTAAAAATTTTATCTCTTTATCTCTTCAGAATATTTTTGAAATCTCTTTTTTATTCCTTTTTGAAAATATTTTTGAAATTTGTCCTTTATTTCTTTACAATATCTTTGAAATTTATCCTTTATTTCTTTTAAATTTTTTTGAAACTTTTTTTGATTTCTTTTAAATATTTTCCATTTATCCTGAAATGATTTGATTTTCATGTCTTGAAATTTGAAATTTCCTTCTTTATTTAACATTATTTCAAAACTCAATTTTAAATCTCCATGGAATTTTAAAACTTTAAATTAAATTTTTTCATTTTTCAATTTCATTTACAAAAAAACCTCCTTTTTTTTTTTTTTTAAACATTTCCCGTATTTCTTTGGATTTTTGATTCTTTTTTCCCAATTTTTTATTGGGGGAAACCGACCCCTGCTGGACCTGGAGCAGCAGCCCCGGCAGGGGACACTGAGGGGACACCGAGGGTGACACTGAGGGTGACACTGAGGGTGACACCGAGGGTGACACCGAGGGCAACCTGGGGGTGACCCAAAAGTCACCTTGAAGGTGACCCCAAAAGTGGCCCCAAAGTGACGCTGAAGGTGACCCCAAAGGTGACACCGGGGGTGACCCTGAGGGCAGCACTGGGAATGACCCAAAGGTGACCCTGAGGGTGACCCCAGTGGTGACCCTGACCCTGAGGGTGACCTCAAAGGTGACACCGAAGGTGACCCCAAAGGTGACCCTGAGGGCAGCCCTGGGAATGACCCAAAGGTGACCCTGAGGGTGACCTCAAAGGTGACACCGAAGGTGACCCCAAAGGTGACCCTGAGGGCAGCCCTGGGAATGACCCAAAGGTGACCCTGAGGGTGGCTCCAAGGGTGACCCTGAGGGTGACCTGGGGACAACCCAAAGGTGACCCTGAGGGTGACCCCAAAGGTGACCCTGAGGGTGACCCCGACCCTGGAGGTGACCCTGAGGGCAACGCTGAGGGTGACCCCAGTGGTGACCTGGGAGGTGACACCAAAGGTGACCCCAAAGGTGACCATGAGGGTGGGCCTGAAGGTGACCCTGAAGTGATCTTGAAGGTGAGGTCACCCCAAAGGTGACCCTGAGGGTGACCCCAAAGGTGACTCCACAGGTGAGCCCAAAAGCGACCTTGAAGGTGCTCCCAAAGGTGACCTCAAAGGGGGGGTGACCCCAAAGGTGACCATGAGGAGGTGACCATGGAGGTGACACCAAGGTGCCCCCAAAGGTGACCTCAAAGGGGGGTGACCCCAAAGGTGACCATGAGGGTGACCATGGAGGTGACACCAAGGTGCCCCCAAAGGTGACCTCAAAGGTGCCCAAAGGCAACCACAAAGGTGACCCCAAAGGTGACCCTGAGGGCAACCCCAAAGATGACCCCAAAGGTGACCCTGAGGGCAACCCCAAAGATGACCCTGAAGGTGCCCCCAAAGGTGACCACAAAGGCAGCCCCAAGGGTGACCATGAGGGTGACCCTGAGGGTGACCCCAAAGGTGACCATGAAGGTGACCACAACAGTGACCCCAAGGGTGACCCCAAAGGTGACCACAACGGTGACCATAAAGTCACGGAGTGGCCATGAACCCAAGGGTGACCACAAGGGCAACCCCAAAGATGACTTTAAAGGCAACTCTGGCGGTCACCCCGATGGTGACCCCAAAGGTGCCCACAAAGGTGCCCACAAAGGTGACCCTGAGGGTGACCTTAAAGGTGCTCCCAAGGTGACCCTGAGGGTGACCTGAAGGTCACCTCAAAAGCAGCCCCAAGGTGCCCCAAAGTTGCCCCCAAGATGACCCTGAAGGTGCCCCAAAGGTGACCCCAAGGGTGACCTGAAGGTGACTCGAAGGTGCCCCAAAGGTGACCCTGAGGGTGACCTGAAGGTGCCCCAAAGCTGCCCCAAAAGGTGACCCTGAGGGTGCCCGAAAGGTGCCCCCAAGGTGACCCCAAGGGTGACCTGAAGGTGCCCCCAAGGTGACCCCAAGGGTGACCTGAAGGTGCCCCCAAAGGGGATCTCAGGGTGCCCTAAAGGTGCCCCCAAGGTGACCCCAAGGGTGACCTGAAGGTGCCCCCAAGGTGACCCTGAAGGTGCCCCCAAGATGACCCTGAAGGTGCCCCAAAGGCGCCCCCAAAGGTGACCCCAGGGGTGACCTGAAGGTGCCCCCAAGGTGCCCCCAAAGGGGATATCAGGGTGCCCCAAAGGTGACCCTGAGGGTGACCTGAAGGTGCCCCCAAGGTGACCCCAAAGGTGACCCTGAGGGTGCCTGAAAGGTGCCCCCAAGGTGACCCCAGAGGTGACCTGAAGGTGCCCCCTAAGGTGCTCCCAAAGGGGATATCAGGGTGCCTGAAAGGTGCCCCCTAAGGTGACCCTGAGGGTGACCTGAAGGTGCCCCCAAGGTGACCCCAAAGGTGACCCTGAAGGTGCCCCCAAAGTGATCCCTAGGGTGGCTCGAAGGTGTCCCAAAGGTGCCCCCAAGGGCGACCTGAAGGTGCCCCCAAGGTGACCCCAAAGGGGATCTCAGGGTGCCCAAAAGGTGCCCCCTAAGGTGCCCCCAAGGTGACCCCAAAGGGGATATCAGGGTGTCCCAAAGGTGCCCCCAAGGGTGACCCCAAAGGGGATCTCAGGGTGTCCCAAAGGTGCCCCCTAAGGTGCCCCCAAGGTGCCCCCAAGGTGACCCCAAAGGTGACCCAAGGGCGCCCCAAATCTGCCCCCAAGGTCCCTCCCGCCGTGTCCCTCCCTGTGGCGGCGCCGGCGTTTCCGAGCCGTGTTTCCGAATGGGATTTTTTCTCTTGGTGATGGCCCCCTTGTAGGATGGCACCCATGGGATGTGGCGGGCGGGGTGTGGAGGGTTGGATGCCATGCTCGGATCCCACGCTTGGATCCCGTTTAGATCTCGTTGGCGTCGCCGGCGCCGCCGCGGCCGTACTCACTGGAGCGCGGCGCCATGCCCAGGTACTGCTTCAGGAACTCGCTAAACCTCTTCTGGTTGTTCCACTTCCGCGCCGACTTGCGCACCCCGATGAAGCCCCCGTACCTCTTCTGCACCCCCTTGGCCGCCCGGTCCGCGCCCGGCCGCCGGGAAATGTCCTCCTGCTCTTCCTCCTCCTCCTCCTCGTGCTGGGGCTGGGCCCAGGGGGACGGGCCCGAGGGCCAGGGCCGGCCGGAGAGGCGGCGGGGCCGCGGTGACCCTCGGAGGGTGGCAGCGCACAGCTCCCAGGTGGCGCGGGGCACGGCCTGGCCTTCGCACTCCAGGATGCAGATCTGAGGGGACAAGGGGGACAGGGACAGGGTCAGGGGGCCATGGTGGCAGTGCACGGCTCCCGGGTGGCACAGGGCACGGCTTGGATGCAGATCTGAGGGGACAAGGGGGACAGGGACAGGGTCTGGTGACCCTCGGGTGGTGGCAGCGCACAGCTCCTGGGTGATGTGGGGCACGGCTTGGATGCAGATCTGAGGGGACAAGGGGGACAGGGTCAGGGGCTGGTGACCCTCGGGTGGTGGCAGTGCACAGCTCCCGGGTGGCACAGGGCATGGCTTGGATGCAGATCTGAGGGGACAAAGGGGGACAGGGACAGGGTCAGGGGGCCATGGTGGCAGTGCACAGCTCCCAGGTGGCACAGGGCATGGCTTGGATGCAGATCTGAGGGGACAATGAGGGACAGGGACAGGGACAGGGGCTGGTGACCCTCGGGTGGTGGCAGCGCACAGCTGCTGGGTGGCACAGGGCACGGCTTGGATGCAGATCTGAGGGGACAGGGAAAGGGTCAGGGGGCCGTGGTGACCATCAGGTGGTGGCAGCGCACAGCTCCCAGGTGGCGCGGGGCACGGCCTGGCCTTCGCACTCCAGGATGCAGATCTGAGGGGACAAGGGGGACAGGGACAGGGACAGGGGGCCGTGGTGGCAGTGCACAGCTCCTGGGTGGCACAGGGCATGGCTTGGATGCAGATCTGAGGGGACAAGGGGGACAGGGACAGGGACAGGGGGCCGTGGTGGCAGTGCACAGCTCCTGGGTGGCACAGGGCATGGCTTGGATGCAGATCTAAGGGGACAAGGGGGACAGGGACAGGGTCAGGGAGCCGTGGTGGCAGTGCACAGCTCCCAGGTGGCACAGAGCACGGCTTGGATGCAGATCTGAGGGGACAAGGGGGACAGGGACAGGGTCAGGGGGCCGTGGTGGCAGTGCACAGCTCCCAGGTGGCACAGGGCACGGCTTGGATGCAGATCTGAGGGGACAAGGGGGACAGGGACAGGGAGCCGTGGTGGCAGTGCACAGCTCCCAGGTGGTACAGGGCACGGCTTGGATGCAGAGCTGAGGGGACAAGGGGGACAGGGACAGGGTCAGGGAGCTGTGGTGACCCTCGGATGGTGGCAGCGCACAGCTCCCGGGTGGCACAGGGCACGGCTTGGATGCAGATCTGAGGGGACAAGGGGGACAGGGACAGGGGCTGGTGACCCTCGGGTGGTGGCAGTGCACAGCTCTCAGGTGATGCGGGGCATGGCTTGGATGCAGATCTGAGGGGACAAGAGGGGACAGGGACAGGGGCTGGTGACCCTCGGGTGGTGGCAGCGCACAGCTCCTGGGTGATGTGGGGCACGGCTTGGATGCAGATCTGAGGGGACAAGGGGGGACAAGGTTGGAGGGGTGGTGACCCTCAGGTGGTGGCAGTGCACAGCCCCTGGGTGGCACGGGGCACGGCTTGGATGCAGATCTGAGGGGACAAGGGGGACAGGGACAGGGACAGGGAGCCGTGGTGGCAGTGCACAGCTCCCAGGTGATGCAGGGCATGACTTGGATGCAGATCTGAGGGGACAAGGGGGGACAGGGTCGGAGGGGTGGTGCCAGGGGTAGGGAGGGGTTGGGGGAATGGTGGCGTCACCGCGATGCTGGAGCATCCCCAACATCCAACCTGGCACCACCCAGCACTGACACTGACACCCAACACTGACACTAACACCCAACACTGACACCCATCCCAACACTGACACTAACACCCAACACTGACACCCATCCCGACACTGACACCCATCCCAACACTGACACTAACACCCAACACTGACACCAACACCCAACACTGACACCCATCCCAACACTGACACCCATCCCGACACTGACACCCATCCCGACACTGACACCAACACCCAACACTGACACCCACACCCAACACTGACACCCATCCCGACACTGACACCCATCCCAACACTGACACTAACACCCAACACTGACACCGACACCCAACACTGACACTGACACCCAACACTGACACTGACACCCAACACTGACACCCATCCCGACACTGACACCCATCCCGACACTGACACTAACACCCAACACTGACACCGACACCCAACACTGACACTGACACCCAACACTGACACCCATCCCGACACTGACACCCATCCCGACACTGACACTAACACCCAACACTGACACCGACACCCAACACTGACACCCATCCCAACACTGACACCCATCCCGACACTGACACCCATCCCAACACCCATCCCAACACCCATCCTGACACCAACACCCAGCCCAACAGCCGTCCCAACACCAGCACCCATCCTGACACCCATCCCATTGGAATTGCCCACGGGAAGGTGCTGGCAGCTCCTCAGAGGAGGAGATGAAGGTGACTCGAAGGTGCCCCAAAGCTGCTGGAGATGCTCAACTCCTTTTTTTGATGTCACCAAACCCACCAGGGTTGCGTCTCAACCCTTTCCAGGCCAGACAGGACATGGAAACTCCTTTTTTGGTGTCACCAAACCCATGATGGTTGTGTCTCAACCCTTTCCAGGCCAGACAGGACATGGAAAGTCCTTTTTTGGTGCCACCAAACCCACCAGGGTTGTGTCTCATCGCTTTCCGAGCCAGACAGGACATGGAAATTCTTTTTTTCGTGTCACCAACCCCACCATGGTTGTGTCTCATTCCTTTCCAGGCCAGACCGGACATGGAAATTCCTTTGTGGTGCCACCAAATCCACCAGGGTTGTCTCAACTCCTTTCAGGCCAGACAGGACATGGAAAGTCCTTTTTTGGTGCCACCAAACCACCATGGTTGTGTCTCAACCCTTTCCAGGCCATGAACATGGCCCTGTCCCTGCCATGGGGTTTTGGTGCCACCAACCCCACCATGGTTGTGTCTCATCCCTTTCCAGGCCGGACAGGACATGGAAACTCCTTTGTGGTGCCACCAAACCCACCAGGGTTGGGTCTCATCCCTTTCCAGGCCAGACAGGACATGGAAATTCCTTTTTTGGTGCCACCAAACCCATGATGGTTGTGTCTCGTTCCTTTCCAGGCCAGAATGGACAAGGAAATTCTTTTTTCGGTGTCACCAACCCCACCATGGTTGTGTCTCATCCCTTTCCAGGCCAGACAGGACATGGAAACTCCTTTTTTGGTGTCACCAAACCCATGATGGTTGTGTCTCATTGCTTTCCAGGCCAGACAGGACATGCAAAGCTCTTTTTTGGTGCCACCAACCCCACCAGGGTTGGGTCTTGTCCCCTTTCAGGCCAGACAGGACATGGAAATTCTTTTTTTCGTGTCACCAAACCCATGATGGTTGTGTCTCATTCCTTTCCAGGCCAGACCGGACATGGAAATTCCTTTGTGGTGCCACCAAACCCACCATGGTTGTGTCTCATCCCTTTCCAGGCCATGAACATGGCCCTGTCCCTGCCGTGGGGTTTTGGTGCCACCAAACCCACCAGGGTTGGGTCTCAACCCTTTCCAGGCCCGACAGGACATGGAAACTCCTTTGTGGTGCCACCAAACCCACCAGGGTTGTCTCAACTCCTTCCAGGCCAGACAGGACATGGAAATTCCTTTTTTGGTGCCACCAAACCACCAGGGTTGTGTCTCAACCCTTTCCAGGCCAGACAGGACATGCAAAGTCCTTTGTGGTGCCACCAAACCACCACGGTTGGGTCTCGTTCCTTTCCAGGCCATGAACATGGCCCTGTCCCTGCTGTGGGGTTTTGGTGCCACCAAACCCACCATGGTTGGGTCTCAACCCTTTCCAAGCTTGACAGGACATGGAACATCCTTTTTGTGGTGCCACCAAACCCACCACAGTTGTGTCTGATCCCTTTCCAGGCCAGACAGGACATGGAAATTCCTTTTTTGGTGCCACCAACCGCACCAGGGTTGGGTCTCATCCCTTTCCAGGCCAGACAGGACATGGAAACTCCTTTGTGATGCCACCAAACCACCATGGTTGGGTCTCATTCCTTTCCAAGCTTACAGGATGTGAAAAGTCCTTTGTGGTGCTACCAAACCCACCATGGTTGTGTCTCAACCCTTTCCAGGCCATGAACATGGCCCTGTCCCTGCTGTGGGGTTTTGGTGCCACCAAACCCGCCATGGTTGTGTCTCATCCCTTTCCAAGCTTGACAGGACATGGAAAGTCCTTTGTGGTGCCACCAAACCCACCAGGGTTGTGTCTCAACCCTTTCCAGGCCATGAACATGGCCCTGTCCCTGCCGTGGGGTTTTGGTGCTACCAAACCCACCAGGGTTGGGTCTCAACCCTTTCCAGGCCAGACAGGACATGGAAATTCCTTTTTTGGTGCCACCAAACCACCATGGTTGTGTCTCATTCCTTTCCAAGCTTGACAGGACATGGAAACTCCTTTGTGGTGCCACCAAACCCACCAGGGTTGTCTCAACTCCTTCCAGGCCAGACAGGACATGGAAATTCCTTTTTTGGTGCCACCAAACCCACCAGGGTTGGGTCTCATCCCTTTCCAAGCCAGACAGGACATGGAAATTCCTTTTTTGGTGCCACCAAACCCATGATGGTTGTGTCTCGTTCCTTTCCAGGCCAGAATGGACAAGGAAATTCTTTTTTCGGTGTCACCAACCCCACCATGGTTGTGTCTCGTTCCTTTCCAGGCCAGACAGGACATGGAAACTCCTTTGTGGTGCCACCAAACCCACCAGGGTTGTCTCAACTCTTTCCAGGCCAGACAGGACATGGAAATTCCTTTTTTGGTGCCACCAAACCCACCATGGTTGTGTCTCAACCCTTTCCAGGCCATGAACATGGCCCTGTCCCTGCCATGGGGTTTTGGTGCCACCAAACCCACCAGGGTTGGGTCTCATCCCTTTCCAGGCTGGACAGGACATGGAAACTCCTTTTTGTGGTGCCACCAAACCACCATGGTTGTGTCTCATTCCTTTCCAAGCTTGACAGGACATGGAAATTCCTTTTTCGGTGCCACCAAACCCACCAGGGTTGTCTCATCCCCTTCCAG